CAAATAGTATAGCTATGCTTTTTGAGACAGTGGGTAGCATAAACTGAAGCTGAATCTGTAGCCCTGTCTTGGTCTTCATTCCTTTACACACAGTGCTCCATCCAGATTTCTATGGGTTAGAAAGCACATTCTCAGCAAAACTTGTGGCCCAGGTGTTTGTGACTGAGAAATGTCAAGCATCAGCCTCTCCCAAGCAGCAACATCTTGACTGATAACTGTCTATCTAGGAAAAACTTCCTGATTGTCAGCTTAGAAGCTGAAGAGTTTGTTTAATGTTCAGGTATTCATATTTTAATCATACCTACCTATTATGTGCACTTTCAAATAAATAAATGTAATGCAATCATAAGGTTGCATACAGTTCTTCTTGCACAGTTTATGCACACAGTAAAAGATACCCAGATAAAAGTGTCCTATTAGTGAAAAGGTTGAAAGGTCCCTCAGCAATGCATGTCATGTACAAATTTAAAAATACAAAAATAAGCCATAAGCAGGAGTCACTAGAACTTCCAGACTCCTTTCTGCCTTGTTGTCCAGACAGCTCTAGGCGAAGCTGAACCCAAAGCGTGATCTCTCAGGATCTATCAGAATATAACACACTTTCTCAATTCCTCGTGCTGTTTAGAGGCAGTTGAGACCAGAGACAATATTTATGTCAACCTGTAAGAGATTGTCCTGCTGGGGAAAATTTGTCTTCAGACAGTCTTGATTATAAGCAGGATAGCTGTAATGTTGGCCTCAACAGCTATAGGAGAAACTGGTTATCTGACACTAGAACTGTCTTTGATCAGCTTTGCTTTCCAAACCCATTGCTGAAATGCCTGCCCAAATGGTATCCAGAAGTGATCTCTAGCAGAGTGAGACACTAGAAAAAAAATCTACTTAGTCTTTCTTCTGTCATCCTATTTCATAGGCACATCATCTACAGAGATGAGATGATGAAAAAAATCAACAGAAGTGCTGATACTCAAACATAGCTGTGATTCAGGAGTTCTTAACCCTGCTCTCACATCAAACAATAGAAAGGAATATCCAAACACTGATTCACCATGGCCTCCATTGACAGCTTCTCATGTGTCTGCACAAGGACATAAGGATAGCCCTTACACAGAATGTATTACATGCTCAAAGAGTGACTGGGCAGGTGAGATGGGCAAAGTAGCCATCTGTTTTCAGAGAGAGGAAACTTTCACTTGTCAGTTACAAATTTGATTCTTAAATTAGGCTTAAACTAGTTCTTAAACTAAAATGATGAGGTTTATGGAATTGTAGTCTGATTCAGCAGTTATTAAATATATGAGTAATCTCACTGCAGTCGATAATAGAGCAGTATAAATTGTCAGTGGTTAGCTAGAACATTTGAAGGGTTTGGGTTAAGTCTGAATAATTTGTTTTCATGGATTGGTCTTGGGTAGCAAGTCCTTCAGTTGTATGCATAGCACACCCCATTTACAATCCACTTACTATCCCTAAAGAACAGCAACATATAATACAGTATATTTCTTACTTCCTTTTGATTCACTATTCAATTTCACTGATAAATGAAGTTAGCCTTGAAAGTTCTGATCACTAATGACTCAGATTTTGAGTACAATGTCAAGCTCAACAAGATTGAAACATTCTTGGTCCGTTTTTAAATCTTTGCGATGCTCAACACTGGAAGCAGCTTTTAAATCACCTAGCCTCCAAACGTCTTTTTAAAGAAGCAGGCACATCTATTTATACTGCTGTTAACCAAGTAAACACATTTAAATGTATGTGATGATATCTAGCCTTCAGTACCCATAAAATGTCTCTGAGAAGGCATGCAGATGCATATACTTTGTTACAAATTAGGGGTGACTGAATCAATAGAGACCCTTTAAGGCATTTTTCAGGACATTAAACACAGTCACACTTCACTAACTATGCAAAGTCATGGTAAATATGTCATTCTCCAACTTTTGTTGAAGCCTGTCCTAACCTACACTGAGCTTTCTCAGTCCCTCCTCTATAATTTCGGTATAACTTCACTTCCACTGGGGATATCTCTGGCCTAAAGCAGGTTCCCTGGATTTGTGGAGGAGATAAAAATCTGCAAATGCTTAGCTTTGGTCTCAGAGAGTTGAAATTTTTTAAGCTAATATTTCAGACATAGTTGCATGATGTGAGAACATGTTTAATGTTCAATCTCCTTTCCGGAAGTGATTCAACGCCTAGAAGCAGTCAGAGTCCTTGAAAGATTTTATTTAGTGTATACACAAGCACCTAAAAATATGTTTTGAGCAGGCAGGAATTTTCACAGAAGTCAGTTTTATGTTACCCAAAATGTTCAAAAATATCTGCACTATGAATTAGCACGTTGTAGAGTTATAAGAATTTTGCAAGGAAATTCAAGGTTTTACTGAATAGCGTTTGTCAGTTTGTGCTAACAAGAAGATGTCTATCTTTCCATGCCCAAGGAGAAAAAAAGTAGAAAAAAGCAGTGCTTTGATGCTGCAAACTAGTCTGGAGAGATTATCACCTGCAACACAATCAATTCCTCAAAGTGATTCTCCTGATAACAAAGTCATCTCCTCTGTTACTTGGCAGAACAACAAAAGAATTGGATGGACTGAAGACTGTGTTTTTATCACACACACAGAGACGGAACTTACTATGGAACTAAATAGAGAAGCACTAAATGAGGAAAAAAAAATATCTACAATCCCACTAGAAAAGGTTTAAAGGGAATTCTTAAAGATCACCAGATACACAGCACAGGTACAGAGCATGGGCAGGGAATGGGGCTCCTTCTTGCCTCTCCAGCGTGCTTCAACTCAAGCCCTAGACTGGTCAGTCTAGAAGCTGAAGATTCATCCCATTTCAGTGCACAGCTACTCACTGGCAACTTTTCCATACATATCCCAAGAATGCAAATTACTGACAGCTGTGATTTGTGCTCCTGTCAAGATGGAATAAGAAAGCAGCATCACCTTTCCCATGTAGTAATCAACGTATTGTCATGGAAAAAGTGCGGATCAATATGGATGTAGATCCACCCTGAACTAGATAGAAATAATTTTGCATTCTGGTGTCTTTCCATACTGTCCCTAGTCATAGGCACATCAGACAGTTATGTCCTAAATCAGCAAATTCAATTTCCTGTTATCTCAGTCCCATTGCTATGCGTAATCCCTTTCATGATTAAGCTACTCTTGTTTAAAAGAACTCCTTGCTCTAAAATAGTGCAACTGCTCCTTCACAGCCCTCAGCACACAATCACTTGATTCTGCTGCTAAATAGATGAAAACATGTCTCTGATGCAGAATATCACCAGGAAAGCAGACAGGAAACATATTTACTGAAATAGCTCTGCGAACCAGTCCACGCCGATCAGACACTGCCATCCTTTTGCAGTACCGTCGTCAGAAATCTGATCGGAGCCAAAAGCTTCCATACAAGTTAAAAGCAGAAACAAGCTGTGCAAACCAGACTTCTCTCTCAAGCTGCTTCCTCAGGCTGCAAAATGTCTGAGGACAAAAGCACAGAATAAAGCACAGCCCCCACCTAGCACAGTGGGGCTGGAGATCCTCAGTGGAGTCACTGGCACTGCTGCTACAATGTGGGGAAGAAAATCAAGTTGGAGAAGTCTCTGTTGCCCTGTGTGCTTCAAAAAGAGCTGCTGGCAGTACTAGTTCACCTGTTCACTGATGCTGTAGTTTTCTCAAAATTCTAGCCCAGCTGGATGAAAAATTCTGAGTCAATTTTAGTCACTCTTAATATTCCACTGAAAAAGGGATTAGGGTCTTGTCAACCTTTTCCGCATTCGAAAAGGTAAATAAATAATTCCTCACAAAGTCACACATAAAACTCCAAACACTGAACCCGTTTGAAAACTCACTTCTATTAAGAGACCCAAATGAAGATATATGTAATTTGCTCAAGGTTTAAAACACTTAGAAGGGCTGGTTTCAAGATTCTTTTCTCTGTTATCGTGAAGTTATGTCAGTGCTTTTTTCCTTAATCTGCTCTGGACTTGTCAGAGGCAAATTTCCAATTAGGGTTTCCTTTCCTTTCCTTTCCTTTCCTTTCCTTTCCTTTCCTTTCCTTTCCTTTCCTTTCCTTTCCTTTCCTTTCCTTTCCTTTCCCTTTCCCTTTCCCTTTCCCTTTCCTTTCCTTTCCTTTCCTTTCCTTTCCTTTCCTTTCCTTTCCTTTCCTTTCCTTTCCTTTCCTTTCCTTTCCTTTCCTTTCCTTTCCTTTCCTTTCCTTTCCTTTCCTTTCCCTTTCCTTTCCCTTTCCCTTTCCTTTCCTTTTTTTTTCTTTTCCTTTTCTTTTCCTTTTCTTTTCTTTTCCTTTTCTTTTCCTTTTCTTTTCTTTTCCTTTTCTTTTTTTTTCCTTTTCTTTTTTTTTTTTTTTTCCCCTGAAACTGTACTGCATCATAGACATCACCTAATTTCATCAAGCACCTATAGGTCAGGGATCTGGCATGTGTCATTTCACCTCCGAAAGGATATCTCCAGTAAATGTAGTTTTCAGTTTATACTTAAGAATGGATGTTGAGATGACTCAAAAAACTACAAGTGAACTTTCAAAACTTTATTTGGCAAAGATGCTGCATGTTCAGCATGTTACAATATCATAGTCAGTAGCTGGCTGAAGAGGTGATCAGCAGTTCTTTAGTAGGGAAAAGTCAAGGAATACAGCATGAGCTACTTTTGTAAATAGGCTGGAACATAACTATTCTCAGACAGAGAGCTGTCAAGTTTTGTCTTCTACATGAAACCAGAACTGGAGCAATTGTTTTTGTGTACATGCACAGTAACAGAATAGTGTTTCTTTTTATGAACAGAAGTAGCTCTGCTCACTTCAGGACAAAGTGTCAGGATATCTGCAGGCTGGTCAAAGCTCTCCCTATCAGTCCCTGTGTGAATTCTGGCAGCACCTTTTTAATCACTGCTTGTTACTTTGAAAATGTATTACATGCAAAATCATTGTGAAACTTCATTCATTGCTTGTAAATAGTTAGAAATCTTGAAACCTGTAGCAATAATTTTATTTTAAATTCATTTCTTCTTTCCAGTGTTTTAAATTGAAACAAAACGCTAGAAAAGACCATTACAATGAGCAAGTATAATCTTTTGCATATCAAATACCCAATGATTCCCAAATCCCACAGTTTGGTTTTAGGGTTGTGTGTGCAACGTGCTTTGGTCTTAATGTAATAAAATGTATATGAGTCCATTTAAGCATGAACCTTATAGTGATTGCTCATTTGCTTTAAATAAGCCTTTGCTCAAACAATTTACGAATTGAAGTCTAAGTACTTGGAAACCAGTGGATTTAAAAATCTGTAAGCACTGTTATTTTTGGGAGATACTCTCACTTGTAATCCTTGGGAATTGTTCTCATACGGCAAATTCCAAATTCAACTTCATGTAATGTCTTCAGGTTTGGGGTTTCCCCCCGCATAAGCAGAGGCAGGACCAAGTCCTCATTCACACTTCCAGCTACATTAGCTTGAATAATTAAAGATTATATCCTTTCCTTTAAAGAATCTCCTATGAAATCAACACAAGCCTTAAGGAAGGGCATGAGCTTGAGATGATAACATTTATTTCACATTCTGAAGCTTCCACAGTGCTTGCAAAACATTAATTTCAGGCATAGTTTAAACTAGTAGTTATGTATCTGACAGTCATGCTGGTTATGCACCAAACAATCTGTGGTTTTAATCTCCCTAATGCCGGGAGCATAAAAAATATGCTTTGATATCCAGTACATATTTCAAGAGGAAAAAAATACAGCACATTTAAGCTTCCCTTTCTACATTATATACTAAATATAGTATAATACAAATAATAACATGCTGTGGAATGTTCTACTGTAAAATGATTTCACTTTCAAAGAACAAGAAGTTTTGGCCAGCTGGGCACACACTGTAGGCCAAGGAATTCTGTCTTTTGCAGGCGTGCTAAAATAGGTGGCATAACCTACTCTAGAGCTAGAACACTGTGAACACACTTGTGCATGCAGTAATGTTCACCAGCCTCAGTAAGACTCTAAAGGAAAAGAATTATTATTGATGAATGAAATAACACAACTTTCTTTCTCCAGAGGACTGTCGTTTTTCTACAATGAGCCAAATGCAGATTTGCAGTCTTTTATCAGTAAGTCCTCAGTGTACTAAAACTCATAGTGTCTGCAGTGAAATGTTCTGTAAACTGTAAATGGTTGTTTTTCTAGTAAAACATATATCTCCTCAGAAGGGAAAATTTTGCACACTAAAAATAAAACAATGAAAGCCATTCAGTAAATACATGCAAAATAATTTGCCTTTACATTAAGGAATACTTGTGGTTTGCAGTAACACTTGTAAGCTCAGTGTTTGCAGCAATATTTGCAAGTGGGGTGATAATGGGCTGGAAGATTCAGAGAACAATACCAGTACTTTCTAAGTGATGCTGAGCTCAGCAAAGGGATGCCTGGCTGCCAGTCTCCAAAAGTCTGGAAAGTAAGATGCTAAGCATTTTGTGTGTTCTCAAAAGCTGCTGAATCCTTGTCCACCCCCAAAGACAGATAAGGACTTGTACAGAAGCACAGGAGCAGCCCCCTAAGAATCAGGAGTCCTGAACTATAGTTTCCCAGCCCTTTTAGCAAGAGCAGGCTTATTGTGAGGAGTAGGATTGCTTATCTACCTGTAGAAATTCTTTATTTGAACATGAAATATATAACAGGAAAGTGACACAGTGAGACTTGAATCAGGCCTGATTTGTCTGTGCCATTTTCAAATCCTGGACTTTTTTCACATCAGTGCAATTAGTCTCTACTAAGCCAGGGGTTATCCTGACATGATGCAAGCATGAGAATCAAGAATATATGTTAGCCTCAATTAAATATTCCATCTTTATCTTCATATTCCAGCTAACTGTACAATCCCAGTATTCAGCTGTAGATGTCTAAAATCTTGCTTTAGTGAAAGATTTCAAAGATTTATTTGCCAAGAATAATTAAACCGTGCAATTTGAGAAAAACAGTTTGAAATAAGGAAATGAGTAATCCCATAGCAAAACGGGAAACTTAATTAAAAAAAATAGTTGTCATTCATGCTCCCTATCTGGATAACCAGAACTAGAAAAATGAAACACAAGGAGTTCTGCTCCCATACAAACCTTACCAGCTATTAAAATGTGTCCACCTGTTCTGATGGCCTAAGACACAAATTCTTTGTAAATGTTACCATGAATTTTGTAAGCTATTAAAAAGTTCTCTTTGCATGAAGCTTTATGTCCTTCAACATTTTCCCCACACTGTGGGGAATTTTATACAAGCTACCTTAATATGGAGTCTTTTAAGATCCTCTACAATCAGCAGAACAGGATGCCTACTACCACAGCTGGGACTGTGGCATTGCAAGTTCTGTGCCTACGGTTCCTCAGACAGAAGCTCTTCCATGGTTATAGGAAGAAGGTGAGTAATGGGAGGTGTTCTCTGAAAATTTAACACCCTTGAGAAAACACATAGAACCAGAATTTTTTTGTTTGATTGCTTGATTTAAAGAAACAGAATAATGAAATTTGCAGAAACGTGCATATCAGTAATCCCTAAGAGGACTTGTTTCTTCAGGAAATGATCCCTCTTGTGGCACCATTTTCTTTCATCTAAAATAAACACTGGTTACAGTTAAAGATACAACACTATAAATATGGAAGCATATGACAGATCAGTAAATTAGAGCCGGCAGTGCAAAGACAAGTTTCCCTTGGACAGTGGGATATTGCGCACTAAGAAATCGCCGCTACCCGCCTCTGGGCAATATATGTTCCCTCCACAATGGCAGCTGGAGACTCCTCAGAGATCTTCATGCACAGAAAATTGTTGAGATGATTGAGATTCCTCATAAAATGCACATGCATGTTTGCTTCAGGGACCTAGCTCAGGAGTCTGGGAAAGCTTTTATGATGGTTTCGTAGGCAGGAGGGGGGGTTTGTGTGGAGTGGCAGATGCGGAGGCTGTTGTTAGACCAGTGGAATTCAGGTCGGCTCAAGCTGTTGGTAGTGCTTCCTACAAGGGTTGTGGTGGTATTTGTGGGAGTGAGGGTGATCAGCTGACTGTTTGTTTCCACAGGGAGAGGAGGACACTGCAGGAAAGGGTGGAAGGTAGATGCACGAAAGCTTGACTTCCTGGGGAAAGAGTTGGCCTGCTCCAAGGACGCTTGCCGCTGGAAGGTGAGGCTGGCCAGGCTGAGGTTGCTCCGACGTTCACAGCTGCTGTTGCGATAAAATCCAGTCCTGCCAGTAGTATTGCCACGGGAGGAGGGTCTGGACCGACAGCTGAAGGTTGAGGAGTTCCCCTGGGAAATGTGGGCACTAGCTCTGCGACGGGACAAGCACGTAAACAATGCCCAGATAATACCTCCAATCACCAGTCCGATCACCATGGACACCGTGAAGGCTATTGTTATCTGTTCTGAAATACAACAACAATACGCAGCAAAGTTATTTCATTAACTCTGAGGGATTTTCCTGCCAGAAAATGAGTTGAAGATGGCAACCTCCTTAAAAGATGAATAAAATCTAAGGTCTTTGTATGTAATATACAAACTTTACAACACAAAACCAGCAGTTCAGATTGCTTTCACTTTATGGTGTTTTTTATTTTAATTTGCATAATTCAACAAGATACAGAAAGTAGCTTGCATTTAATACCAGTTTCTGTATCAATGCAAGGGAAAAATCAGCCTCTTCCAGAATCAGCCACCCACCAGCAACAAGGTGTGCTATAAAACTGCCAAGCATTTGCTTCTGTGGGCAATACAAGGTGCGGATTTATGCAAACTTGTCATCATGTTTATAGATGTTGATGTTCTATGTTTATGTGTTTGCAAACTCACCTATTACAACAGTGATGTAGCTTCTACCGTGTTTTTAAAGGAGTAAGCCTTATACTTATTAAAGAACGAGAACATGTTCCATCCTTTTACTGCTGAGTAACAGGTACTTTAAATCCTCATACTAATTAATGCAAATTAGTATATCCTAAATGGTCAGAGATAAACATTAGTAATGGTAAATCACCTGAATATTTCCCATCCTCAATGCCCAGTTTAAAGATGCATTAGTCTGCCATTAAGTAAATTTCTAGCTCTTTTATAAATGCTTTCAAGAATCAAGCGAACTGAAAACAAAGAAAAATATGGCTAGGATTGGTTTCTCAAATGAGATTATTTCCTTGTATATTTCTAAGAATAGGACTGTTCCTTCAGAAAACTTCACCTACTTTTGCAGCTGAGCACCAGCTTTTTTGCTGTTCTAAAAACTTTGGAGATACACTTTTAATTCCGCATAAGGCCTGAAATGAACAAAAACCTTTATAGATCCCCTCAAAATTTAAAAAGGAATTGGATCTTTAACAAGAAGGAAGACCACATTGACTACTGATGGAGCACAGAGGGAATAAGGGAAAAAGAGCAACACAACAGCTCAAAACATGTTTATTCTATCTGTCCTTTATTCTATAATGTTCTATCATGCTTGTGAAGCATTTGTGCTAAAAAGGAAATTGTATTAATTAGACAGAGAAAGGTGAGTAACTTTTGCAGCATATAGAAGCTCAAGCTAGCTAACGCTGTGCCTGTTTGATCCTCATAACAGAAGATAGCCACTCCAGGACTGGGATCAAAATGTTAGAGCCCAAAAAGGGCAAGATGAGAGTAGGCTCAACATTTTCTTGCAGGGTAACAGCTGTTAAAGAGTTTCCCCTGAATTTATGGTGCTGCACAAACAGTCCTTTTTCAGAAATAATGACACTGAATCCAGGCTGTGAGAATTAGCCACAGCAGGTGCTGAACAGGCAAAGGGAGCAAGTGGCTGTTGGACAGCCATAGAGACAAGCACACAGTGGAGGGAGAGGAGAGGTGCCAGGCATAGCTAGTGGGACCAGCTTGCAGGCAGAGGCACCCTAGTATGTGCCAACAGATGCCTTTGCTCAAGTCAGGCGTCAGTGCCTATCAAGGCTTAAACTTAAGGCAGGTCACTGCAGGAGGGTGAAAGCAAACATTTATTTTCTTTTCAGCAGGGGAGATGTAAAAAATTACTGGTATAATTATATTTTAAGAATTAGTTATTATTACCTTCCTTACCTACCTTCTTACTTTTCTCCCTTCAGTGAAAAATTGTTAGCTGTGTGATTCATATTTCCAGTCCGGGAAAATTAGCTCCTTGAGCACCAGAAAGTTTAGCATAGAATTTTCCCAGGGTTCTGGGTGGGGACTCCGAGCATCATTAAATTGGAACACAGCCTTTGCTGTTGCCCATCAGGCCCTGACAGAGGGGCAGTATGTTCTCCCAACATGCCTTTGCGGGTGTGGTTCCATGCAAGTCCAACTTTATCATAAATTACTGACATCACCATGAATCTCCTATCCAGGTTTATTCACCTAATATTTCTTTTAGGATAGCCTTGAAGTTCCATGAGGCCCTCTAATTAAGCCGTGATACTTGGAAGGTTATACAATCCTACTGTTGCTTGCTTGTAACCTCTGCTTTCAGATAGTCTTATAACCATTATCCTTTTCAAATGGGAGAATAAAGACTGGAGAGGATAATGCATAGGATAACGTTGCAGAGCACTCCTCCCTCTTGGGAGCACTTTGTTGCCCTTTTGTTCGGAGGTGGATCAGATTTGACCCTAAAATATAATTTTTCTTCAAGCCCTCATTTTTACATCTAAGAAACTCTTGACTAGGCAGGCTAAAGTCAAAGGGTGATTGCCTTTTCTGCTTTTTGCAAGAACCCACAGGCAGCATCCTGCACTGCAACTTCTGGCTGCAGATCAGAGCTTTGTCATCATTCTGCCTTTTACCAACATCTTCAGAGACACAGGAGGCCTTAGCATGTCCCTTTTGGTCAGGAATAGCCTATTATGCCATTTTAATAGACTTAATACATTCTGTTACTGAAATTTTCTACTTATACTCCTGGAGGTGGGGAGGGACAGCCAGGACTTTGTGACCTTCAGTTGAGTAAATCCCAGGGGTGTCCTAAAGACAGCAGTTCCCAAGTACTAAGGCTGCAGTCTTGAGTACCCCCTACTGCTGTCCACGCATGGCTATGGGTAAGTGGAACAAGAACTAGTCCTTTCTTAGGCTGATTTCTTTTGCACTTCAGCTGAAATGCTAGTTAGGTTATTATATTTGAGACTGCACAGGGATACCCCAGGTACAGGGCTCTGTGCTGCCATCTGGTATCTCAGCTCCTATTTGGGCTCTCAGTTCCAGCAGGCAGGAGGCAAAGAGGATCTCTGTGGAGCTCAGCAGCCTGGAGAGTGAGCAGAAGCACAGCAAGCCGCATCAGTGTACCTGGCTCTGGGGTTGCCATGCACCATGGTGAGGATTTGTCCCTATATCCTTCTAGCCATAATTTTCACCAGCTGCACAATCAAATCAGCATTCCACACTGTTAAAAGCAGATGAGGGAATTGACAAAAGTATCGAGTGCAGCTCTTCAGTCCTTCCCACGTGCTGTTACCCTGTGCTGGAGGTACAGCATAAACAATTATCCCTTTGGATAATGTCTTGCTTTTCTCTTTTCTTTTCTTTTCTTTTCTTTTCTTTTCTTTTCTTTTCTTTTCTTTTCTTTTCTTTTCTTTTCTTTTCTTTTCTTTTCTTTTCTTTTCTTTTCTTTTCTTTTCTTTTCTTTTCTTTTCTTTTCTTTTCTCTTTTCTTTTCTTTCTTTTCTTTTCTTTTCTTTTCTTTTCTTTTCTTTTCTTTTCTTTTCTTTTCTTTTCTTTTCTTTTCTTTTCTTTTCTTTTCTTTTCTTTTCTTTTCTTTTCTTTTCTTTTCTTTCTTTTTTCTTTTCTTTTCTTTTCTTTCCTTTCCTTTCTTTTCTTTTCTTTTCTTTTCTTTTCTTTTCTTTTCTTTTCTTTTCTTTTCTTTTCTTTTCTTTTCTTTTCTTTTCTTTTTTTCTTTTCTTTCCTTTTCCTTTTCCTTTTCCTTTTCCTTTTCCTTTTCCTTTTCCTTTTCCTTTTCCTTTTCCTTTTCCTTTCCTTTCCTCTCTTTTTTTCTCTTTTCTCTCTTTTCTCTCTTTTCTCTTTTCCCTTCCTTCCTTCCTTCCTTCCTTCCTTCCTCCCTCTCTCTTTCTTTCTTTCTTTCTCTCTTTCTCTCTCTTTCTCTCTTTCTCTTTCTCTCTTCCTCCCTCACTCCCTCCCTGCCTGCCTCCCTGCCTCCCTTCCTTTCCTTCCTTTCCTTCCTTTCTTTGTTTTGTCTTTCTTCTTTGATTCTTTTATTTTTTTTACCTCTATATATGAATGTAAAAATAAAGGGTCAAATTATTCTGTGGGTAAACTCAGCTGGCTTTATGCTGACTATTGCAGTTGCCATATAGTACCCCAAATGCTCTCATTCCCATTTGGACCTACATTTATTCTTTTTGGTTCTAGAAATATCACCAGACCCATTTGTTTCAGACGCTTTATTCTTTCTATTCCCACACTCTCTGTGACTTCAGTGGGGATTGTGGATCACACTAATAGGCCAAACTTGCTTTTATGTTCACTCCCTGCAGAGGATGAATGTCACTGAAATGTAATTCAGTTCTAAAAACCAGCGTTGAAGAATTGTAAATCTACGCCCATTGATTTCCTCTTTAGAATGCCCAGTGATCATAGCCCTGAGGTACATTGGAGAAAATATTACCAAACAGAGAAAAAGATCAAAGGCAGAGTGGGACTTGCTGCACCTGGGATTTTGAGGGGAACAGCTGACTTTCAGGGAGTTGTTTTTCTCTTTCTTAATCTGGCAGGGCAGAACTAGCCTTTCAGGAGACTCAGAGCAATACCAACACAAAGTGTCTCCCACGGGGCCACTGTAATATTCTATGGTTTCCTGAGAACTGTTCATGTCATTCTGTCCTCTGCTTTTAAGGAAAAAAGAAATTGGGATAAAGTAGGGATGCTTCCAGTAACAATAACTCCCTAGGTGCTGGTTGCCTAAATGTGTTTTGATCTGTATGTTTCTCAGGCTGCTCACACTGCTTATTTTATTTGATTATGCCATAACCAAAAGGATATAGTACTCCACCTCAGTCAATTTTCTCCTCTCTCACTTCTAACACCAACTGAGGTGAAGGACAAAGGATTTTTTCAATCAAAGGATTTTTTCTGTCTCAGAACAGACTTTGAAATACAAATCTAAAAATAAAAGGATAAGGAAACAAAGATGCTGAATATCTTAGCTACATTACCTTTCTTATCTATGGTATTTCCAATGTGTTCATGAAAAAAGGTTGAAGGTTCAGAACCCACAGTAACACCTATGACTACAGGATGCTACCACCAGATCTGAACACCAAGTCAGCATGTGTCTGTTAGGACAGCATCTATCCAGATCAGGCAATTCAGTTTGAAGTCCCTCTATTCTCTCCTCTCTGATTTCTGCATGCAGCGTTAAACAAATGAAATACTAAAGGTTT